GCAAGCGAGCATTTGCTCTGGAGCAAATTTACGCCAGTTGCGTTCACACGCGCACATTTGCTTCGGTGCTGCTTCGCAAACGAGCATTTGCTTCGGAGCAAATTTTTAAACCACCTCCCTGAGGTGGATCAAATTTAATGCGCACTAGGCTGTTGAGCGGCGCTACGTCGAAGTAAATTTGCACGTGTGAACGCTCCACTGGCGTAGAGTCGGTGCAGCGTCGGAGTAAATCTTGTCGTGTGAACGGGGCTATTGTCAGGTGTGCCGTGGGAAATTATACAATATGGATGCCTGTGTGGTCGATCGCCTGGAAGAGTAATCATGTAATACTCTTCCATACCGGTAGGGAGCAGCAGCAGCAGCTAGGAAATTGCCTTATGCTTCGAGACAAGCGAAGTTTCCGACGCGAGGCAATACAATCTTTCATTTAGATTTACGTTTACTGGAGATGCAACGGCACCAATGTTCCCTCTAAGCTGTGAAGCTGTGCACTGGTCGCACACTCACAAGAAAACCTATCCAGCACAGTGAACGCACTGCAAATGAATTAGATATGTAACTTTTTTTTGGATCAATTTGCTGTGGAATTCAGTGAGTGACAGGTGTCCAGCCAATCACACGATTGGCTGGACACCTTGACAGTACTTGCGCATGTTCTCTGCTCCATTACATAACAGTGCGGTGGCGATCAGTGACGCTAATGCTAATCCTTTATCATGGCGAAATGACCGGGCAGTGAACGTGATACGTCGACTCCCCAAACCAAAATAAGAATAAACTGCGGTTCTTTTAAGTTGGAATGGCTGTCGGAGTATGTGCAAATAGAAGAATAAGCAGTGAAACTGGGGGAGATATTTTCTTTTTCGAGTGAGAAAGGTCTGTTCTGCAAAACATGCAGCAAAATTAAAGCTGTAAGCAAATTTTCCGATGGAAAAATCAATGGAAGCTGGACTACCTCAAGCGAAACATTCAGCAGAAAAGTCATTTGAATGATGTTGGAATTATACAAAGACTCAAGATGGGAAAAGCGATTGGTACAATACTGCGGGGAGAGCACAAACGACCGGGAGAAAAAGAACCAGCTGTCACACAGAAAAAAAAATCCGACCCTGAGCAAGTTAAAGTTCTAATTGACGATATTTTACTTGCCATTAAAACAAATGCGCCAAATATTGGATTGATGTTGATTTGATTCCTATTCAATGTGTTATTGCGTTAATTTTCAATGTTAAAAAAACGCTTACAGTAACTATATATATAAAAAAAATGCTGAAAACTTTTTATTCCATACCTTCGATAAAAGCATCACAAAGGGAGGACTTCCATCTACCATGTCACAAGTACTAATCAACCTAATTCCTAAAACGTTTACCCTTTGGTATGTAGTACATCTGCTGATTGTCCACAAGTGTCTTTGTCTCAACAGTCCTCTAACAATGTTGTTCAGATGATGAAATTCTACCAAGAGCTCCTCAAACTCTATCGTAATTGCAATGAATTGATGCCGTAATTTTTTTTTTTTTATTCCAATGAATTGATCAGGAGAAAGTTCATTCCAAGTCCAATCGGTTGATCAGGAGAAGGTTCTCTGACTTCTGTTCGTGCAGTTTGCTGCTGGTCTGACTGACGCACATCTACTCTATTTTATCCAGATCGTGAGTCATCCACTTGAGTCCGTTCATGCTTTTGAAGACTGATTTAATCACTAACAAACAAACAATAAACATACAATATGACACGGTCAGAGAACCGTGTGTCTCAGCAGCTTAACATTTCCGACCTGAACTTTTTCTCCCACAATGCCCAAGATGAAAGCCTCTTATTGGACACTATGTGTGATCAATAAAGACAGGATAATAATGACATAACAAACATAACAAACATAAATAGTTGCCCGAGTAGGCAGCCGTAAGCAAGTGCTCTCATGAGCCTTGCTTTTTTTGTTATTTTTCACAGCCCCGCTTTGTTCAGCGGAGAGATCGGTGCTGTTGAACGGTCTGCGGCTGGATGGATGCATGGCTTGAGGAGCCGACGATGAGAAGAAAGGAGCGTTAGCGCGGAGCGCCGATGCGGATTTGGAACTGAAAGTCGCGGCTTGGAGTTTGAAACGGATTACGTGGGACAGTAGAAGTGAACTATAAAACTCTTTTCGTCAATGGATGCTACAGCTTCGTGTTTGCTTTCAAAACTTAGCTTGTAGCAGACGTGTGCACATTTTCAGCATGACGTCTCTGATCCACTGGTGAAAGGACACTTTGATCCTCTCCTCTTTCATCTATAACTGCTTCAGACAACAAAGTGTATGCAGAAAAGTGGTGAAGATTGCTCGACCGTCTTGTGTCCTATGTGTTGTATTGTGTTATTTTTGTTATTTTGACTTCAAAATGGCGCTGCGAGAGTGGCTGCCTTTCCAGCAGCTCCTATATTTTGTTGTTCTACTTCTTCCTTTCATAACTTTGCTGCTGTGAATTGGGAATTTCTCCATTGCGAGACTAATATAGGTTTTCTTCTTCTTCTTATTATTATAACACTTAATTGTTAAAATAAGCTTTTTTCACATTTTCAGGTAGTGGTGTGCCGCGGGATTTTTTTCAATGAAAGAAATGTGCCTTGGCTTGAAAAAGATTGAAAGACACTTAGATAAATAGCTCATGCAGATCAGGTCATGTTAACAAAGGCCCCTTAGTTGTTTTCAATTTGACAAGATGGGGGGTTGTAACTTGACTCATGTGATTACATCTTCTCAATATGTCGAACATTTGATGAGAGGGCAGACCTGAAGACATCTTCAAACTTATTTTTCATTGTAGTGGTAGCACCACCTACTGTTTTTCTCCTAGCAGGTTGAGCAGATTTGCCCCATATTTGCTCTGAAGAGTGTTTAGTCCTTCATGATGTCGCAACATGAACTTTCGCTGAATTTTCGCGAAACACTGTTGCCATAGCAATGTACACCAATAAAACACCTATTGTGGGGGTCTAAACATGCATGTAAAATTTGCGCACACATAAGGCCTGGAAAAATCCTCAATCATTTTTCAGTTCAATGTGAAATGAACAAACAATTGCTCAGTAGCGCCCCCTAGAAATTTTAAACAAAGCAGCCTTAGTTGTACGTTTCACCTACATTTAAATTTAGTGGTTTATGTAACCGCCCAATACCTGCAAAACAGTCTCTTTGAGTCATATGCTAAACTTAATAGGAATGCTCCAATTTTGACTTTAAAATTCTTCCTTGCCTTGACTACAAGCCCAATAATACAGTGCGTTTTGTGTATGTGTCAAATACAGAAATAGCACCCGTTACTGAGACTGCGCCCAACAATACGGTGCGTCACATGGTCGTGAAAATATGATATATATTATTCGATGGTAAGCAAACTCCTTCTTACAAATTAGGCACAACACTCTCCTTTTATCAATTGTGCCGTCAGAGCGTTTTTCGAATGTAAATTTTCCATTCGTTGGGCCGACAACTCCTCACCGCTGCTTACCTGGCCCTCCCAACTCCAATGGGAGCCTATCAGCTTCTTCATAATGACAGCCAATCAATGTACGCTTCGGGCTGTGACTGACAGTTGTTTCCCCACCATCAACAACTCGAACACAGGAAGCCAAAACATAAAAAGGGATATTATAAAAATGCAACCCACCTTCAGAAACAATAAAGTCAGAGGTTAAAATGTATATTAATGCGATTAAAAAACATAACCCGCTCAATATGATTGTAATTAATTATTCACAATTAATCAGTACCAGCCAATTCTGGACCAAGTCTGAAAAGACGTTTAAAAACGTCTTTGGGAGTGAATGAGTTAACACGATAATTTGACACCTCTAATCAAAATATAGTCACATCTTGGGCCTAAATTTTCATAAAAATTACCGATGATAACTTGGCCCATTTCAACCACCACAACATGCAGTTAGCCATCAAGTTATATCTACAACCCGGGGAAAAAAAAACATCTTCTCTGAAGTTTTCATGTTTACTATGTTATTTGGGCTCCAACGTCCCTTCCATGTGTACGTATGCGCGACGTATGTAACAGGACAGCTGCAAAACACAATGTGATGTCATGGCTAACTACTCTGGAGTGTGACTAAGAGATTTTTGTGCTGCTCAGCCACATTGGCTAAGAGGTTTAATGACCAAGAAGCAACCCTGCTTTCTAAAAATTTTTGATTTTATATCAGTTTTATTTTTCTTGAAATTACAAGGGAATGGACTACATCTGTTCAAATATTTAGAGCCCTTGAAAATGGAGGTAATGCAATGACAAGAAATGGTTGTGATTCCATCAGGTAAATAACATATATTTACACTTTACAAATTCGGTGGAGTATGAAGGCAAAATAACAAATGGCTTTGTCCAAATACCTTTGGACCTAATTGTATTTGTTTACCAAAAAAGTCATTTACAAATTCCTAACTGTGACCAATTTGTGATTTATTTGGGGGGGTTGGGGAAATACTATTTGTCACATTGTTTAATTATTTCAATTCTATTTTCTTTTTAACTGTATATGCACAGTTTGTATTGAGAGCAAAAAAATGCAAGTGTTAGATTCCAAGATTCTGTGGAAATAAGTTTAAGAGAGCTGTGTTAACACAAACATTGTTCCTTTTCGCTCCTCAGGTCAACTAAGGAGGGTTCAGTTACTTTCCAGAAGTCCCTTCACCACCACAGCCCCACCTCTTCGATCACCTCCGTTGGTTCTTTGTCCCGGGCCCAATCTACTACTCTTTGTAGTTTACCGAGTGCCTTCCATGCCCCTTATTCCTCCCACCTGTCTGTCCCTCATCAACAGCCACATAGTCATGGTGAGACCTTCCGCAGCATGGGGATTCGCAATCTACAGGGTCCTGTTTCCCAGTTTGGCGAGACTTTCACACCGATGCCGATTGACCCAACACCACAAAGATGTCATGGTTTCCCCAATGACTCCTTGCCATCGATTCACAATAAGCAGGAACAGACTCATCAATATCCACAACAGCATTCTCATAGTCTGCCCCTTCCCCAACCTCAACCTGTTGTCCAAGCCCGGCATTTTCCCCATCTGCATTCTTACTCCCACCTGCAGGAGCAGTCCTTTGAAATGATGGCACACGCTCAGCAGAAAATGGACATGCTGAATGAAGAGAACAGAGTTCTGAGGCAGGAGATAGATGCCTGCCGTGATAAAGTCACCAAGCTCCACAAGGTAACATCAGAGCTAGTGATGGGCAAGTTGTGTCATTAAGGCTGTCCAGCCCATTGCTTCGGCAAAAGGTTCACTAATAGCCCTAATTGAAATGATTAATGCTGCCATCTGGTGTTCAAATTGACATAATACAGCATCTTCGACAAGATTTACTTTGGCACAATTGGGTATCACACCATGCAATGTGAACGTAGCCCTTGAAACAATAACGCAAAACGGTGCCGTGAAAAAGCATTTGCCCCCGTCCTGATTTCTGTGTTCTTTGTGTATTTATCACACACCAAGGTGTTCATCAAACCAATTTTAATACTCACAGAGACAACCCAAGGAAATGCAAAATGCTGTTTCTAAATGGCAATTTAATTTCTTAAGGCACATACAAAAAAAAAAAATCCAAACCTACCCGCCCCTATGTGAAAAAGTAATTGCCCCCTGAACCTAGTAATGGGTTGTGCCACCCTTGGTTGCAATACTGTAACTGAAATCAAGCGTTTGCGATAATTGGTGATGTTGTCTTTTTTTTGTTTAGTTTTTTTTTCTGGGGGGGGGGGCCCACTCTTCTTTGCAGAATTGCTTCAACAAAACCATCTTGGAGGGTTTTATAGCATGAACTGCCCAATTAAGGTCACACCACAGCTTCTCAATTGGATTAAAATCCAGATTTTGACTTGGCCACTCCAAAGCCTTTTTTTTTTTTTTTTTTTTTTAGCCATTCAGAGGTGGACTTGCTGGTGTGTTTTGGATCATTGTCCTGCTGCATAATCCAAGAGCGCTTGAGTTTCACTCACAGTGCTATTTTAGAAACCTGCCTTGGGACTACGGCTAAAAACTAGCATTTATGCTAAATCCGGCGCATTTACACCGTTTAGTCTTGCGTTGATATACTGTCCTAATGCATTGAATAAATAACTAAATAAATCAGCAAGTCACTAAATAAATAAAAATAAAATTGAGTTTGAGAGCGCAAACTGTATGTCACATTTTCACCTTCAAGATTTTCTGGTGGACAGCAGCAATGAATTCTCATTGTCCCATCAATCAGCAAGTTGTCCTGGTCCTGAGGTAGAAAAGCAGCCACAGACCACTACACTGCCACCACCATGCTTCACTGTTGGCATGATGGTCTTTTTATCAAATGCTGTGCCGTTTTTAACCCAGACTTAATGGGCCACGTTTTACAAAAAGTTGAACTTTTGACTAATTAGTCCAAAAGTGAGACGAGCCTTAGTGTTCTTTTTGGACAGCAGTGGTTTTCGCTTGGGAACTCTCCCACGGATGCCATTTTTGGCCAGTGTCTTTCTTATGCGTGAGTCATGAACACTGACTTGAACTGTGGCCAGTGAGGTCTGGAGTTCTCTGAATGTTGTTCTCGGTCCTTTTGCAATATCCTGGATGAGTCGTCGTTGCATTCTTTGAGTAATTCTAACTGGTCGACCACCCCGGGGAATGTTTTAACTGTTCCCACTTTTTTTCATTTGTGGATACAGTAATGGCTCTGACAGTGTTTCGCTGAATCCCCAGAGTCTTGGAAATGGCTTTGTAACCTTTTCTAGACTAATAGATTTCAATAATTTATTTTCGAATTTCTTGAATTTCTACGAATTGTGGCATGATGTGTTGATTTCTTGAGATCTTGTTACTGACTTCACTTTGACTATATGTTTGATTTCTTGATTTCACAAATGTGGTGCTAGGGTGGTGCTTGTGAATTGAACTCAGCTTTCCTAAAACTGTCGTTTGTCAAGTTACTTTGTGATTTAACAAGGGGAGGTGGGGGGGGTACATCGGCACAGGCAGTTTTTGGATTTTTTTTTTTTTCCCTAAAAATTGGCATTTAGAAACTGCATTTTATATTTCCTTGGGAATTCTCTATTGTGATGATCTTAAAATTGGTTTGATGAACTGAAACTGATGTGACAAATATGCAAAGAACACAGAAATCAGTACGGCGGCAAATACTTTTTCACAGCACTGTAAGTGCTGACAGAAGCAATTTTCGACCGAACCCTGGACTATCACAAATTCAAAAAGCAAAGATAAGGAACGGTTTGGGGCGGAGGGGGAGGAGGAGCAATGGGCAGTAGTATATCAATTTATTATTTTTTTGTGTAAAATGTTAAATGATAAATGGGCTGTCACTTTTACATTATAGCACTTTTCTACCTTTGGTCCTCAAAGCGCTTTACACTTTCCTCATTTACCTACTGATGACGCAGCATCAGGAGCAACTGGGGGTTCAGTATCTTGCTCGAGGACACTTTGACAAGGTCGCAAAGACCGGGAATTGAACCCCCAACCTACAGGTTGGGCGAAGATCGATGTTCCAAACTGTTTCTAAATGAATAAAATTGCGTGCTGTTACCCATGTTTGTTGACAGTCCTAAAATAGAGGTGACGAAATGTAAAAAAAGAAGTGCATTAAAAATAATGATGATGGAATGACGAACTAACGGACTAATGTACTGGACCGGCCTGAAATAACAATGGACTGATGATGACCGACTTTCGGGTCTGCTTGCTGGCAAATGACAGAAAGTTCACTGACACAACCTATATTGGAGCTTAAAGCCCCAATCCCACTGAGCGGCGAACATTTGCAAGTGCTTCAGAATGTAGCGAATGTTGTGTTCTCGTCAGGGTTCATCAGGGTTTGTTCAAAGTCTCAAATATTCGCCAGTCACCAGACATTGGCCTGTACTTTACGTCTCTCAACAGTATTTTGAAGAGGCTCAATATTTCCTTGGATTCCTTTCAAGACAAGTAAAAAACAATAAAACTGTTGGTGAACATCTGGCGAACGTTTGCCGAACGTTTTGCGAACGTTTGCGACCTTGAACAAACCATTATGTGAACACGCATATGTTAATGTCATAAATATTCCCCCTTCAGTTTTATAGGGGCTGAAGCAAATAGTAAATCTTACGATTAGTTAATCGTAATAAATATGTCCTGTCTAGAATGAAGTCCACTGATATGCTCTGTGTGGTTTTAAATGTGAGGATAGACAACAAAAATGATTAAGATTCTAAAATGATCAACTGAAAACTAATACATTCTACAAAGTAGTTTCCTTGCTCTGTCTGTATCATCAACCAAAAGGCATATAACGAAACACTACCTTTTATACAATACAACTTTGTTAAAATAGCACAGCTGCAACAGGGCACTTTGCAAATAATTACAACAAAATAAAGTGAGAACAGTAAATTAAAACACAAATGAATGATACTAACACATATACAGTAGGCATCAGACAACAATAAAACAATGTCAGTTTTCTGTGGCGTCCAAAGCTAAAGAAAAAAGATGTCTTCAAAGGAGTTTTTAATAAAGACAGAGTCTAACATTTAATGGATGGTCATTACAGAGGGAAGGTTCAGCAACAGAAAAGGCTTGATCCTCTCTGGGGCTCTGCTTAGTTCTGAGTTCCTCCAGTAGCCCCT